AAGCTTGCTTTCACTATAGAAATTAAGCCATTTTTCTTGAATAAATGCTTCTTGGATTGTTGTAAGCTTTTGGTTACTTTCCAGAGTTCAAAAAGTTGATTTTGATTGGTTTTTTTTTGCCAGTGTTCTCATCACTATTACAGAGGAACAGCTCTTTGGAGGTTCTTTACCATTCTCACTGATGTCCTATCCCTTTTAGTTTTCAGGTTAAAAATGTTTCCTCCTAATCTCACTGTTATCTTTGTCTGTGGCGTGTTCACTGAACAGGAGTCCTAAACTTTGATGTAATCAAGTTTATGAACTTTTCACCTATGAATTGCACATTGGGTGTTTATGAAGAGTTTTTCTACTTTAACATCACAAAAATATTCTCCTACATTTTCTTCCTTGCTTTTATAATTTTACCTTCCATAATTAAGCCTTAATCCTAGCATCTGCCTTTATGTGCAATGTTAAATAGGGAACCTATTTCATTTTTCTCCATGAAGTGAAGAAATTTCCTGGATCCATCTACTAAACCATACTTTCCTTGTTGACTTGTGGAACCTCCTTACTTGTATGTTAGAGTTTCCTATATAAATTGGTCTGTTTCTGAGCTTTCTATTTTTAATTTTTAGTTCTTGGATCAGTACTAACCTGTTTTAATTTTCTGGATTTTTAGCTTAATATCTGATAGGGAAAGTCCCCATTCTTTGCTCTTCCTTTTCAGAGTTGACCTATTTATGGACCTTTATTTTTCCATTTAAACTCTGGAATTTATGACATCCCTCAAAATATCCAGGTAGAATTTTGATTGGGTTGTGTTGGCATTATAGATTAATTTAGGAAAAATTGTCACCTTTACAGTAACAGACTATTTCATCTCATCTAATAGTATGGAAAGTCTATTCAGTTCTACTTTTATGTCAAGACAGGGTGCCTGGGTGGCTCAGTCGTTGGGCATCTGCCTTCGGCTCAGGTCATGATCCCAGGGTCCTGGGATCGAGCCCCACATTGGGCTCCCTGCTCAGCGGGAAGCCTGCTTCTTCCTCTCCCTCTGCCTGCCGCTCTGCCTGCTTGTGTTCTCTCTCTCTCTCTGTCAAATAAATAAATAAAATATTAAAAAAAAAAGACAGTTTAAAATTTTTCTCAGTAGAGGTCTTGTTAGTTGTTAGTTTCTAAAAACTTGATATTGTACAGTTGTTGTTCCCACAGTGTATCTTATTTTTTGTTTTGTTTTCTAGATTATAGTTCTGATTTTTATACACTTAACTGTTTACCTTGCTATACCCTTATTCTCATACTTTGTTGATTCCAGTGGTGTTTCTATTCAGGTAATCATGTTACCTACAAATAATGAGAGTTTTTTTTTCCTTTGAAATCATTTTACTATTTCTTTCATATATATACTTTACATACATATAGTTTACCAGTATCTCTATTAATATGTTAATAACAGTAGAATTTTAGTTCTGAGTTATGTGTGTAATACTTATTTTTTTGTTCTTTAGTCCTTGACTTTTTAAAGAAATAAAACATTTTGTTATTTTCTTCTATATATCTTAGGCACACACCTCCCTTGATTTATTTCTATCCTTATTTGGATTTTTCCTCTTGGAATTTTGGAGTAGGCTTTTTTATGGGAAAATATTCTGAGGATTTCCTTGCCTCCCAATATTTTTTATTCTGGCTTCGCTGCTGAATGACAGTTTGATTGGGTATAAAAATTCGAGGCTTAAAGTTCTTTTTAACATTTAAAAAAATATTAATCAATTATCATCTTGTGTCCAATGCTGTTGCTGTCAATTTTTATGTAAATCTGCTTTTTCCACCTTTGTAAGTAATCTACCTTCTCTTTTTGAAAGCATTTAGAATTTTCTTTGCCCCAGATAACCTTAAATTTCTCTATAAATTGTCTTTGGATATTAGTTTTTCCTTATGTATCCTGCAGGATAGGGAGGAGAGTGAGGCAAGTGAGGGACCCAAGGTGAAAAACTTAAGGAGGCACTCACTCCCAGGGCTATGTAAATGCCCCCTTAAATTTTTACAGCACATGGGTCTCACTTGCCTCATCTTACTCCTGGACCTATCACCCTCCTTGGTAATCTATGAGCCCTTTCAATCTGAAGTCTTTGATCTTTCTCTAATTGGATATTTATCATCATTCTTTCCTTTTTTTTCTTGTTAAGTAGGCTCCACACCCAGTGCGGGGCTTGAACTCATGACCACGAGATCAAGAGTCAGGTGCTCCACCACCTGAGCAGTTAGGCACCCTATCATCATTATTTCTTCAACTACTTCCTTCCCTCTATTTCTTTATCTAGGTCTCCTGAATTCTACCATCCATGTCTTTTAGCTTTTCTTTTATATTTTAATTTCTTTATCCTTTACTGCTGCCCTTTGAGAGAGTTTCTCAGTCTGTGTAGTTCATGAGTCTTTTTGTTTACCTCATCTTTTTAAATTCAGCTATTATATTTTGTTTGATTTCTGATATATACATGATTCTTTTTTAATGACCTCTTCTTGCTTCATATTAATAATACTTTCTGTGTCTTTGAGCATGTTTGTTGTGCTTATTTTAAATTCCTGGAGTACCGGTTCTAATTATTCAGCCTCACACAGTATATGTTTTAAATTTTGTTGTCTTTCTTTATAGTGTCTCTCTAGTTTGTCTTAGGTCATGTTCTCCAAGGGAATCCAACAGCCCTGTGGAGGCAAAATGTAAAGACTAGGGTCTGACTTGTGTGCCTCCCAGTGAATTTAAAGGAAAGAAAATGAGGGTCAGGCTAGAGAGTGTCAGACCCCATAAAACCAAACTTGACCATTTCCATATGCTGTCACTGTACTAGGCCAGTCCTCTAGTTAGAACACCACCCCTCCCCTCCACTTTAAACTCTTAAAAAGAGACATCACAAGAAGATGCAATCTCTTGATGTTTTCAGTCCACCAGCACTGATGGTTGCTGGGGGATTGGTAGCAGAGCAAATACCCAAAGGGGCAGCATGCATCCGTTTCATCAGCTCTAGAGAGACTTCTGTGCTGTTCACAAGTTACTAAGTTGACAACAGATGGCTAGCCAGTTGCTGCCAGTTTCTTCCCTCTGAGGCAAGCAATGATCTTCCCAGGCAATGTGTGTGTGTGTGTGTGTGTGTTTGGGGGGGGGAGGCGGTGTCAAGAGAAGATTTTAAAACCTCTCCCCCACATATTCTCTCTTAGCCATATCTGACCTTCCTACCCTCCAGCCCAAGCTGCCACCAACTTTTGACCCCAGCCCACTAAAGTCTTTGGGTTTCTAACAGTCAATAGTTCCTCAGATTCATACTTCTCCCTTCCAAAGTTTTCCCTTTCATTAAGATACAAAAGAACTGGCCCCTTGCCTAGGTTGAAAGACCCTCTCTAATTTGATCTCAGTATCTTTCAATTCTCAAAGCAAATTACTATCCCCATTTTAGAGAGGAGGAAATTGAATCTCAATGAAGTTGATTTGTCCAAAGTCACACCACTAGGAAATGTGGTAGGGCTAGAATTTGAAAACATGTCTATCTTATCCCAAAGCCCATGCTTTCAATACTCCATTAACCCCAACTGATTAATGACTGAATTTAGAGCTATTTTATTCAAGAATCTATCAAACCATGTTTCTGAAAACACTGATGTTCTGTGATCTAGACCATGGCATTCACCCAAAACCCAACAGTCTTTTCCCAAATGGTAGAAAAAATATGTATGTTATGGTTAGAATTTTCTCAATGTCATAGTTGCCCATACATTTTTAGTAAATCTTTGGCACCTGCTGTTCTTTTGTACACTAGCAAATCCTAAAAAAAAAAGGGGGGGGTAATGATTATGTAGAAAATGAGTTTTGAGTAACTGATCTCAATTAGAAATCAAGAAAATGTTATCAGTTAACGTTTTTTTCCCTGCTAACAGGGAAAAGATTGCCATTTCAAGTCATATAATATATAAATAGAGACTCATCATTCCTGCTAGCAAAATTAGTTTATATCAATGTCTGAATATTGAATTGAATTCATGAATGCTTAATAAGTATGAATTTACTAACATATTTCTCCTTCTTATATATTCTCCCTAACTTTAAAGGCAAGATTTTTTAAAAATTAAATTTCATTTTTTAATAGTTAATACATGCATATAGTACAAAATTCAAATGGCACAAAAGAATACACAGTGAAAGTAAACCCACCTCTGTCCTCCAGTGACCTAATTCTCTCCCCCTGAGGCAGTCACTTTAGCAATTTCTTGAATATTGTTCCAGAGATATGGTAGGTGGACATAACCTCTTATATATGACTTTTTATAAAAGGGAGAAATTTTAAGTTTTTTCCTTGCCATAATTTTACCTCACTAAACTGGGAGTTGCTCTGATCTTTATATAACCTTGCATGCTAAACATAAAAATAAAGTGAGTTTTAAAAGTTATTAAAAATGTGAAACAGAGAGAGACCAATAGAATGAATCCCTATATACCCATCACCTAGCTTGAAAAATTATTTAAAAGTGATTCTTAAAGGGTTTAACAGTCTTATAAATTTTCAGAACGTCTGTCAAAGGGAAATGAAAAGAATCACACGTTCAACTATAACTACAGCAACCCTGGAGTCTTCCAGGTTATTCTGTTAGTACTAGTTGGGAGCAATGTATGATAAAGTTCACATAGCCTTTCTAGTAGTAAAAAATGAGTTGACAAATGAATTGTACTTACACCTTTCCTAAAACTTCATTTGGTATATGTGCAAAAGACATATCTAACAGACTTTTAAAGCCATTATTGCATTAATATTAGTTTTAGAAAGTACTAGTAATTCCATATATGGGGCTAATTCAGTTGTTTTGATTTGGTTCTTTGCATGGAGAAAGAATGATGCATCCATTATATTTATCCATACTTTAAAAAATTAACTTTTATTAACATTTTTTAAAAAGCATGATTATGAATATTGATTATATTTCCATATAGAAATCTTATTTTTGTCCTGACTTCACAAAATCTTTTTTCTCAGTTCCACTTGCCTCTCCTGATGCATCAGCAGAACTTCAAAAGAATTTTATACAGCACATCTCTTTTTTACATCAATATGATGCTAGGAAAAATCCCAATGAGCCCATCCGGGGAAAGGTGAGAGTATTCAGAATCAATTATTTAATACTTTAGGATGGGACAGATTTATGTTAGAACATTAAGCCTTTCCAAGTCATAACCATCTTTCTAAAAGTCTATTTCAACAAACTAACGTGGTTGTTGGGTAAAATCTCAACAACATGTCATAGTTAAAATTAAGGAATGATGTCATAATTTTGGATCACAGTCTTTGGAGTTTGGTTTCAATTATTACAATCATTCACTTAAGGTAATATCAAAGCAGTTTGATAAACTGTTGGATATGCTCATGTGGGTGAGGCAGGAGAATGCATCTAAGATTTACAAAGCCAAATGTAAATGTTATTACATATTACAATAACTGCTGGATTTTTTTTCCAACTGCAGATGTTTGTTTTCATATTTTACTTTAAGTCTTTCATTGAAACTAACTGATATTTAGGCTGCAATCACAAATCCTGAGGTCTATGAACTGTAGTTGCTATTGTATCCACAGCAAACTATAGAGCAAGAAATGAAATTTGATATGTGTAGTCTTATACAATCCAACTGATAGAAATGTTGAGAAGGGGAAACAAGATGCTGATTCTTTGGCTTTCTGCCTTTCCCTTTTATTTTTCTGGCACACCCTGTCTTTATCATTGATTTTAAAATTTCACTAATAATTATTATGCCACTGTCTTCAGTTTTAGACTAAGGTGACAACCAGTGCAGAGGCAGAAATAAGGGCCTGCCTTGCCAGAACTTGAGCTAACACATGAACTGAGTTCACAGCTGCATCTTCCAGCAACTTGTGTGCCCTGGTTAATGTCAACTTTGTTTTCTTTTCCAGCGACATGGAGCTTTTGTGCAGACAGAGATAAAACCAGGGAGTAGGCCAATAGTTCCTACAGGAATAGAGGTATTACAGAATGCTCCAGGGTCATGCTCATCAGAAGTGTCCAAAAAAACAGAGAAAGGAAACTCAGCGGAAGGCAAAATGATCTCACCAGGTCTCTGCCGACAAAATTCCCCAGAGCTGTCAGACACTGAAACTCCCTTAGCAGAAACAGATGTCAGAGAGGCAGCCAAGGCATGCCCCCGAAGTCCTGAGAGAAAGGAGAGGGTCACAGACATCTTCCAAGTAACTGCAGTAAACGTTCTTCTCTCCGGGCATGATCATTTCAATCCACCAATAAAGAGTCAGGATAAGTCAGGATAAATTACCTTCTTCAGATAAAAATCTAATCCTTGGAATGGAGAGAAATTGCAGAATCATACAAACCATCACAGTTGCTTTTTCTGTTATCAATAACCTCAAAAAATTCAATTTACATAAATGGGAAAATGAAAAAAGACAATTAAAGTGCACCAAAAATTTAAGAGTGGTCTCTAATGAGTGGTAAATAATAAGACGTATTTCTAAGTCATATTATTTATAAACCAAACAATTTTGTTTTGCACAAAAATGAACATAATAACAATATAAAACTTTTATGAGAGGCCCTATGGGATAGTCATTCTCTGGAATCAAAGCAGGGTTGGAATTTTGCCTCTACACCTATGAGCTGTGTGACCTTGGGTAAATTACTTAACCTTTTTAGACTTCAGTTTCCTCGTCTGTAAAATCAGGATAATAGCGATTTCCCAAGGTTAGTGAGCATGAGATTATGTACATTGATTAATAAGTAACCAATGTGATTACATTATCACTATTACTATAATTAAAGTTTCAATTTAAAAATAATGTTCTCCTATAACCTTAAATTTTCCTCCTCATTCTAAAACTTTTAGTCCCTCTGTATACAATTAAGAGTGTGAAAAATCTGAAAACATTTCTCCTGGTACTAGTTACACAAATGTGCACGCATGCACACACACACACACATACTCTTAATTCAAAGACTTATGGATACCTAGAATATAAAAATATTTCCTAAGTTGTTTTCTACTTTACTTAGATCATTTCTAGCACTAACTCAATCTTTGCTTTTTACAAGAGTTTGGTGTGGTTAATTCTACCAGCTCTTCTATTTGGCACATTTGGTGTGCCAAAATGTATCTATCAGAGTCTGTGTTCTGTTGCACACAAGTGGAGTAGGTGGAATATCTCTCTGCTGCCAAAAGAGTATTTATATGCTCAGCAAATTTCCATGGCAATATATCAGTTGCACACCATTATCTGTAGTGTTGATAAGACAATAGGTGTGTCTTCATCCCTTTTTTTCCACTAAAGAAATTTTAATAGACTGCAAATGAATGAATGCCATTATTATATATTTGTGTATTGGGGACTTTCAGTTCTTACAATACAGCAGATTAAGGGTAATAGTGAACCCCTTTCATTACACACACCTTGAAATGCTGAATAAAATAAAACAACAAATAAATAGATAGCCAAGGTCACAAAACAGAGAAACTCTCAAATAAGAACTTGCTTATTTGTGTATCAATATACACCTTAAAGATCTTTTGTGTAGAGTACCTCATTATTTTAAGAGCTGCATAATCTTCCTTAGTATAGATCTACTATAGAATTGAAGCACAAAGAATGCAAGCTTCAGTGTATGTGTGGGAAAGGGTGGGGGAAGTTTGATAGCAAATATGGAAAGAGGTCTTAAAGGCTAAGGACTTGAAGTTTTTTAAGGATTATTTATTTATTTAATAGAGAGAGAGAGAGAGAGCACAAGCAGGGGGAGCAGGAGAAGGAGAAGCAGGCTCCCTGCTAAGCAGGGAGCCTGATGCGGGGCTCAATCTCAGGACCCCAAGATCATGACCTGAGCTGAAGGCAGCTGTTCAAATGACTGAGACACCCAGGCGCCTCTTGAATTTCAATCCTCAGTGGAACAGAGATGGAACCTTATGGCCTCCAAAATAGAGTTTCAATCAATAGATTGAAACCTACATAAAGCTAGCACCCTCAAATAATTGGCCTATCTTGGTACAAGGCAGACTAGAAGAACTTCACTTGTATAACCAGGCAGACAGCAAAAAAGTTTGCATCTTCCTATAGCTATAGATAGTGGTTAAAATCTTTGTAAGAAAGTAAAACCTCAAGGTTGTGCCACATTCCAGTTTGGAATATGAATTTACATGCAGAACATCTTATAGGCCACAAAATTAACATAAAAATTAGTCCTGCTGGTAAAATGCAAATGCAAAAACCCCCTGGAGAGAGATTTCCACAATCCACAGAAGAAACAGTCCCTGCTAAAGGTAAGGTCACAAACAAAAATTACAGATCACAAAAAAGAAAACCAAACTGAGTAGGAGTCTGCAGTATAACAAAGAGAATGGTTAAACCTCAAAACTAGAGGTAGTAGAATTTAAATACTTTCAACTTGAAGGTACTTGTCTTTCTTTCATTCTGGAAAATTTTACTCTGTAGCCTTTCTATTATTTCTATTCCCTCCATCCTCTTCTCTCCTTCTGGAACAGCTCCCAGCTGAATGATGGACCCTCAGATTTATCTTCTATCTGTCCTAACTTTTCTCTCATGATCTTTTTCATGGTACTTTACCACTAAGTGATGCAAGAATCCCTTGACACTAATTTTCTTCTGACTAATTAATTTGCCTTTCAGCCATGTCAATTGTTATACCAGGCCATCTATGGAAAACATTTTTTATTAGAATTTTATTTTTTAATTTTTAAGATCTATAAATGCTTCCTTAATACATTAGATCCTTCCTATATTATGGATATGATAGTTTCTCTTATCATTCTTAGAACATAATAAAGCTTAAAATCTTAATTCTGTTAATTTTTGTTTGTTGAGCATGATGCCTTAATTTCTTGGTATTATACTTTTTTCCCTCAAATGTGTGGTGATTCTTGGTTGTATACTCTTCTTTGATTATGTGATTTTCAGATCCCTATCAGTGTAAACTGTTTTTGTCTGCTGCACCTGACTTTGTTGGGACAGGGTTAGGATATGAGTCAGACAGGATCTGAAGATGATTTGTGTGATGGGATTTTGACCTTCATGGAGTTCAGTAGCTACTTGAGCACTGCCCTGTTTTTCTAGCCCTAGTGAATGAGTCAATTCATCCACAGCTGCGCAGCGCTTAGCACATGCAGAACAGGGAGGGGTTACTAATTTGCTGCTCTACATGCAGTTCCCTAATTTTTCAAATTGATAAATGCCCCTGACCCCCTTCCACTTCTTAATATCCATTAGCTCTAAGCTCGTAGTTCTATCCAACCTCCCTCTACAGCAGACATCTCTAGACATGCATTGGATTTTTCTTTTTCTTTTTTTTTTAAGATTTCATCTATTTATCTATTTTAGAGAGTGTGTATGAGTTGTGGGAGGAACAGAGGGGAAGGGAGAGTGAAAATGAGAGAATCACAAGCAGACTCCACACTGAGCACAGAACCCCATGCAGGACTTGGTGCCACAACACCCTGAGACCACAACCAGAGACCAAGGATTGGAAGCTCAACCAACTGAGCCACCCGGGCGCCCCTCGGTTTTTCTTTTATTTAGCTTTGTTCCTCCAAACATTTGTTCTCTGGTAGTAGAGAACAAGTAGAGTAGAGTTCTCTGGTAATATCTTTCAGAACTTAATAAAAATCTATTTCTTCTGATAGTAGGTTTACCTGGTTTCCAATGCTATTAAACTATATTTTATTATCAATATCTATTTACAGGTATTTTTGTGAGATTCAGTGGGCAGTAAGTGGTAGATGTGTATAACCAGTCTGCCATTGTGAATCATTCTCTAATTTTCTTTTAAGTAAATCATTTGCAAACTTAGTACTGTGGCCATTAGTAAATCACAGATTTTCTGCAATAGACCTCACAATTGACTGGCAGACATTAGGTAAGAATTGTCATAGTCCTTCTGTCTTAGGGAATGTGTTTTAGTGAAAGATGGAGGGTCTGGGGCCAAACAGCCCAGTTAGTGGACTAGTACCATAGGCTAGATTGGTGGTTCTCAACGTTTTCAAGTATAAGGACATGTTTTCTGCATTTAAAAAGAGTTTATCATTCCTTACAAAGTGTAATTAAACTTTTAGTATCCATTGTTTGAGAAAACACATAATAACAAAATGCAGTGATGATTTCCAGGTTCAATTCTCTGGTTTTTTTTAACTGCTAAGGGTGTGTCTCTCCACAATGAATTCCATAGTCTCTTAAAGTTATAACTGCCTATTGGTACAAATAGTGCTCTTAAATTTCACAAGAATATTTGAATATTTTCAAGTAGTCCCTTTATTAGGTATTTCCTTAGAATTATAGCTTTTACCAAGATGAGGATTATTTTGTTTACCAAAGAAAACAAAACAAAAAGTCCTTCATAAAATTCAATATTTTAAAAAATACCTTAATGAATGAGCTAATGGTTTTCAGTCCTTAACATTGCTATTAATACCATAAATCTTTGTGTGTTTTAAGGTTTAAAGCAGTTTCCAATCTATTATCTCATTGGATCTTTACAATAATCCTATGGAGCAGGGAAAATAATACTGTGTATGTCAATCTTCCAGCTAATAATAGACTCAGAGAACTTAAATAATTTCCTCAAGTTGGCAGTTAGCAAGCAACAAAACCAGGGCCAGAACCTAAGTTTCTCAGTGCTCTGTCCATTCATTCCCAAATGTCAATGCACAGGACAATGCTGGCCCATTGCAAACAAAAAAACAAGGTTAAGGAGTATAAAAGCAATTTCAAAACTTTTATTAAGAGATTGTCACTTTACTGCTTTTTGGGATTCAAAGTACTCTCTGTTAGACTTCTTATCACTATGATGGTCTAAGTTGTTGTGGGAAGCACCTATCATACCTACACCGACAAAGGCTCAATAAACAAAAACATTCGAAATACACAACCAAGCACTAAAACAAGAAAGCAAAATCCTCAGGTGCCAGAAAAAAGAACACTAAAAAGTAGTGATCAAGAGGTAAGGTTAACTAGGCAACTGGAGAAGTACAATCAGAAGTTGAGCTTAGGAGCTACAATGGGAGTTGAGGCCCCACGTGCAATGGAGCTGGAGCTCAGCTGTTGTGAAAAGGATTCTAGAATCTCTCTCCCATTAGCCTGAGAATTAGGGGATGAAGCAAACTGATTACCTCCCAGACAACACACTTTCCGAACTAAGTTGTGCACAAAGTAGGAGCCACAGGTGAATTCCTGAGTAGTAGCACAGAAAACGCAAACCAAGGTGGCAACAGAAAAACCTGAGAATCAAAGATCCAGAAGAATCAGAGAAACCCAGAGGACACTAGTATAGACAAATACACTACTGCCCCATAGTCACACTCCACAACCCTGGGGACATGAGACACGGTAGAAAGAAATACCTAAAGATGAGATGGAAATCACCTATCTTCCAGGGGAGGGAGTTAGCACAATTCATGCCCTGAGAATTACAGACAACAGAGCAAAGAGACTATAAAGTAAGTAAGCTTAAATGATTCTGGACATAAAGGAATAAAAACTATACAGAAAAACCAGAACAGCATAAAAAATAAGAGGCATATTTCAGGGGGGGATATAAGCTATATAAATTCCAAAGATAAAAAGTAAATCATTTTTTTAAAACTTAGTAGATTAAAAAAAGTATTTAAAAACTTAGTAGACTAAACATAGCTTAAAAGAAAGTTGGAAGGCAAAGTTGAAATCTCACAGAATGAAACACAAAAAGATAAAAAAGAAATATTAAAAAGAAAGAGGCACAGAGAAAATAGAACATTACTAAGTGTTCCAGAAGGACACAATAGAGGGAATATGAGAGAAATCTGCAACAAAAACGGCTATGATAGAGACTGCTACCTGTTCCCAATAACCAGTCTCCCCCTCTGCCTTTTTCATAGAATCACCCATTTTTAGCTAAGAACTAGGCTGCCCAGAATAAAGACAATATTTCCCAGTTTACCTTATACCTGGATTGGCTATATGACTGTGTTCTAGAATGTAACCAAAACAGCATGTTCAACTTCCAGAAATGTCCTTAAAGAAGTAGGATTTTTCTCTCTACTTTTTCTTTCCTAGTAGCTCAAATGCAGACGGTATGATTTAAGTTTGATTAGAGAATCTACTTGCTGAGAATGAATGGTGGAACAATAAAATAAAAGGGTCCCTGAGCCCCTGACACTATCAAACACCACCTGGAGAGCCTCATCTATGTGAAAAAGAAATAAACTTCTATCTTGTAGGAACCACTTTGATTTAGAGTTGTTTTTTAAAACCACTTGCAGCAGAATCTATTTGTAACTTCTGATTGAGAATTTTCTACAATTAAAGAAAGATGGGAGTCTTCGATTTAAGGGAGTGAAATTAATTTTGAGCTAGAAAAAATGAAATTAAATCCACACATGGACACAGAATAATAAAACCACAGAACATCAAATGTACAGAGAAAAACTTTAAAAGCAAATCAGAGAGAAAAGAGATTGTTGCCCATAAGGAAAGACAAACTTCTCAGCCAGAATGAGAGATACAAGAAGAAAATGGAATAATACCTTGAAAATGTTGAAAGGCAGTAATGCTCAACATAGAATTCCGTGCTTAGCTAAACTATAAGTCAAGAATGAGGACAAAATATGGACTTTGCCAGACATACACATTTTAGCAATAATAGCAAGTACCTATATAATGCAACTTTATAAGGCACTGGTCTAAGTGCTTTATATATTTTTACTCGTAATCTGCACAAGCAGCCTCTGAGGTAGATACTATTAATATTACTATATTAAGGATGATGAAACTGAGATACAGGGAGGTTAAGTTACTCAACCAAGGTCACGCAACTGGTAAGTAGCCAAATTGGGATTCAAGCACAGGCATCCTGTTTCAGATTCCATGGTTTTAATCACTCATAGAATAGAGTTTTTTACTCACAGATCTTCAGTGAGATCACTACTGAAATCATTTAAAAGATTGGTATGGTGCTCGCTTTGGCAGCATATTTGCTAGAACTGGAACGATACAGAGAAGACTAGCACAGCCCCTGGGTGAGGATCCCATGCAGAAGACTGATGGAACCTGGACAGAACAAGTAGGATGTAAGCAGAAAACCAAGAAAACTAAATCAGCAAATCCTCTGGATCAACTCACACTGACTACAAAAATGTTATTTCATGAAATAATTCTGATATTAGATTCTAGGGGACTTTTTCCTCTTGTAGTGTCTTTATTTGGCAAAAGAAAATATTTGGCTACTCTATGTCAATTCCCCCAAAATTTTGGTAATTTTCCTAGTCTGTGAAATCATAGTCTGGCAACCATTGATCTATTGTGCAACAAAGGCTTTTTGTTTTGTGTGTGTGTGTGTGTTTTTTTTTTAAAGCAAATTTGCAAAGTTAATTACTGGTGTGTCATACAAAAAAATATTTAATGGTATTAGTATATTTTGTTATTTGTGTTCATTCTGTGAGAAGGACAGCCTGCATGTAACCATTAGTGAGAATTGCTATTTTCCTCAAACATGGCTCCTTCGAAGGCCATGCTATAAATCAAAATGTAACAAAGGAGAAAAAAAGCCCTTTCCACCACAGAAACTCACTGCTAACTTATTAAGGTTTATGGAGAAAATGCTTTTTGTTGTTAAATTATATCAAGGTGATCTACAATATTTCAGCCCAGAAGGCAGAGCCCAGTGCTGTTACATGCCCACCAAAATCAAAGATGGGTAACCACATAGAACACTTCTGAAGGAGTGAATTTTGTGAGGAATAGAGAATATATGTTACGTTTTACTTGTAATAATAACTATTATAAAATTTTCTTCAAATTACTCTGTAAACTTTTTAACGCTGTAGATTAAGAAAGCCAAAGGTTTTACTCTTAATTTTATAGGTCTCACACAATTTTCCCATTCTCTATCTACCTTGCATCAGAAAGAGATACCCCAAAAATGGTCCCCAGAGTTCCCAGCAATTTGCTTCACAATCATAAGCAAATGATTTGAAAAAAATGTATGACCTGGCACAATTTCCATGCTAGAATTTTAATTGTGGCAGTAAAAGAAACTGCATTTCCAGATTAAGTTCTCTGTAAAAACAATTTAATTTTTTTAGGGTGCTATTGTTTGTTGCTTTGCTTTTTTGTTGTTGTTAAGATTTTATTTACTTATTTGAGAGAGACAGCACAAACAGGGAGGAGAGGGAAGCAGGCTCCACAGTGAGCAGGGAGCCCGATGCGGGACTCAATCCCAGGACCCGGGGATCATGAACTGAGCCAAAGGCAAAGACTTAACCGACTGAGCCACTCAGGCGCCCCTTTGCTTTTGTTGTTTTATGAGTCTGTGTGTTTCACTTTGGAAGGAGTTGGGAATATTGAGAAGGTATTTTTTTTTTTATCTTTTTTTTTTATTTGAAAGAGACACAGTGAGAGAGGGAACACAAGCAGAGGGAGTGGGAGAGGAAGAAGCAGGCTTCTTCCCAACCAGGGAGCCCAATGCAAGGCTCAATCCCAGGATCCTGGGATCATGACCTGAGCCCAAGGCAGATGCTTAATGACTGAGCCACCCAGGCGCCCCTTGAGAAGGTATTTTTAAGCACCAGCCTATAAAGTCAAAATTCCTTTGAAAGTCCCCTATATAGTCCATGATGTCCAGTATACAAAATTTTGTATACAATTCTTATATACACTAAAAAATATCACTGAGCTATGGGACAAAAGGAAAATCCCTATCAGATGTCTGCCTACCTGTAGGATTTCCTCCATCCTGTTTTTATATTAGGCTTTTATAACCTTAGTACATGCTTGTGTAGTGAAGGATTAACCTTGCCCAAAGAGAGGTCTGGCTTTTGCCCTTGACTTCTGTGAGGTAACTTCTAAGACATTGGAATGTCCTGCTTGATAAGAGTGTCTTTGTTTATCTGGGGACCCTGGGCCATGCCAGAAAGTCTATGCTGACAGTGCAATTTTTGGTGGGGGGAGAGGTCTTGGGCCACACAGTATTAGTTTGACCTCTGGAGGGGCTGGAGACTAAGGTCAGCCAGGTTGGCAGTCAACCATGACTATAGGACCAAGCTCAATTAAACACTCTGGACGCCAAAACTCAGCAAGGCAAACTAGTTGGCAATATTCCATGTGTATCATCACATGTTACTGAGAGAAGTTAGCACTGCTCACAACTTCACTGGGAGAAGACAAATGGAAGTTCATGCTTGGAATTCTCCTGGACTCTGCCCATGTGCCTCTTTTCTCCACTGATTTCAGTGTGTATTCTTTCATTGTAATAAACCATAACTGTGAGTATAAGAGCTTTTAGTGAGTTTGGTCCTTCTAGCAAATTAACAAATGTGAGGGTGGTCGTGACAACCCCCAAATTTGATGTCAGAAGTCAGGCTGGGCTTGGGGATTCTCAAACCTCGCAATACGGATTTATTTGTGAAAATTAGGTAAGATAATGACATCTACAGTGAAAACCCTTGGTAATGTGGATTCTCTCACCATATTAAAGTTGAAATGTTTGATAAAAGTTAATAATAAATTGTATTTGTTTTGCTCTAAAAATGTTCCAAAACATTTTTAGTTAAGAACTTCTGAAATTTTTAAGGACATATTGATTTTACAAGTAATCTCACATATGGTACTAAAAGATGGCCAAAAGAACTCTAGATCAATCACTAAAACTCTCATTTCTTCAATCAATCCTATTAAAGGTCCTTTAGGCCTGGAAGTGGGAATCACAATTTCTGTCCTATATCCAGCACCGCTCCCTCATAGACTTCAACTCTGCCCACAGCTTCCTAAATAATCCTTTTATTAAATTCTCCTCATTCACCTGATTTGACTGGCCACTATTTCCTGGCTAGACTTGACCAATACAGTGATTGGCACTAAGGCCACATGTGATCACAGAATTTTCTTAACGCAACACTGAGCTCCAGATTATTATTATGAATTGATTCAAGTTGACACTTGAAATATAGTTGTCATTCCTAGATTTGAGATTTAACAATATTCCTCCTGGTTTGAGCTTCCACCAAGAAACATGAAAAATGTGCCTTATTATCAGACACTTCATTGCTCTCTCACTTCTAAGTCACTGAGGAACAACTTCTAATACCTCAGTTTTACCACTCTCCCTGGGACCTCAGTGATGAGAATTTTGGTCCAGTATACCTGTTGATATATAACATCCACCAAGATGCCCTGTGGCCCAATGAATTTCTGTATCATACCTCTTTATTTGCCAGTCACTTGCTTCTATAGCTCAAATATCCTCAGAGACCAGGCAGATGATCTAAGAAAGACAGTGGTATAAACAATGGGCAGTTCTGATTTCTGGCACATCAGAGAAAAGTCTTCTAAAAATCCACTCCTCCATAAAAGAAATGAGAACACTGGGCAAAAATGGTTGAAATCAAATGTTTCAAAACTCCGAAAATTAACCAAAGGCCTACAACAATTGGAAGAGCATTTATTCAATAAAAATGACTCAGTCTCTGTGAGAACAGTAAGCTTTGTGGTGTTTTAACTTGCCCTGTTCCCATCCTACTCTCAAAAAGGATAAAATAATTAGGAATAAGTATAGCAAAAAAAAGTGCAAGACTTTTACACTGAAAACCACAAAATGTTGTTGAAAGAAATTAAAGAAGATCTAAATAAATAAAAAGAGCACGTTCATGGATTGGAACAAATAATTTTAAACTGGCAACGCTCCCTAAACTGGTTGACAGAGTCAACACAATACCTTTCAAAATCCCAGGTGCCTTTTTTGCAGAAATTGAAGCTGATCCTAAAATTCCTATGAAAATGCCAGGGGCCCAGAACAGCCAAACAAGCTTGAAAAAGAACAAAGTTGGAGGACTCAAACGTCCTGGTTTCAAAATTTACTACAAGATTATGGTGAATCAAGATAGGGTAGTACTGGCATAAAAAGAGACATAAAGATCAGTGGAGATTGGACAGTTCAGAAATAAACTCGTACACCTATGGTCAATTGATTTTCAACAAGGGTGCCAAGACCATTCAACGGGGAAAGAATAGTCTTTTCACCAAAGTGTTGGACAACTGGATAACCACATGCAGAAGGATAAAGTTGGACCCCTTCTTTACATTTAACAAAAATTAACTCAAAATGGATCAACAACCTAAATGTCAGAGTGAAAACTAAAAAAACACTTACAAATAAAACATAGGTGTAAATAGTTATCACCTTGGATTAGGCAATGATTTGTATGATGTCAAAACCACAAGAAACAGAAGAAAACATTGGTAAGATGGACTTTAAAATTTGTGCTCCAGAGAGCACCGTCAAAAAAATAAAAGTCAACCAACTGGAGAAAATATCTGCAAAGCATTGAAGAGACTTGTATCCAAAACATATAAACCACTCGGAAACACAACAATTAAAATACCCAATTAAAGATGGGAAAGGACTTGAACAAACTTCTCTAAGGAAATGACCAATAAACACATGAAAAAATTCCCAACATCAAGGGACATTAGGGAAATGCAAATGAAAACCACAGTGAATAATCGCTTCATCCTCCTTAGGATGGCAAAAAAGACGACAAGTGTCTTCCAGGATGTGGAGCAATTGGGACCCTGATTCATTGCTGGTAGGATTATAAAATGCTGCAGCCACTGTAAAAACAGTTTGGTAGTTCTTCAAAAAGTTAAACATACAACCCAGTAATCCCACTTGTAGGAATATACCCAAGAAAACAGAAAACATATGTCCACACAAAAACTTACACACAAATGCTCATATCAGCATTATTTTTAATAGGTAGAAAGCAGAAACCAGCCAAATGTCCACCAATTTATAGACGAATCCATGAAATGAAGCATACCCATAGTATGGAAGGTTATGCAGCAGTAAGAGCAAATATTGAAAAAACATTATGCTAAGGGAAAGAAACCAGATGCAAAAGGCCACAAGTTGTATGATCCCATGTGTAGAAGATGTCCAAAATAGGCACATCCATAGAAACTAAAGATCAGTGGTTGCCAGGGGCTGGGAATGGCAGAGGGGGAATGGGGAGTGACTGCTAATGGGTACAAGGTTTCTTTCTGAGATGATAAAAATGTTCTGCA